CAAGGGTGCCGAAGGAGCCTGGAAGGTGCACACGGTTGACGCCGTACCAATCACTGGTATGTATTTTGTCTACCGCCGATGTACTTACTCGCTACAAACGGTCGGCTGTCTGTCGCGAACATTTTAGCCACCGCTATCTTAAGGTCGGTGATGGTGAACTAGCACGCGCCTTTCGCGAGGAGCGCGGGGCCCTCTACCTTATCGCTCACATTCTGCCGCTGCCGGTCTACCTTTCAGCCACGAGTGCTGAGATGAAAACACGAGAGACTTGGTGGGTTGCAGGAGAGAGATCCTCTTGAAACGAGAGTTCCGCCGCCGGCGGTGGGTGAGGTCCGCCTCCGCCCGCCGTCGGAACCATCGGAATTCGAGTGCGGGGCGTTGCTGACGTGTGTTCGTGAGCGTGGTCTGCTATTATAATAGTGGTCTGTTGGTTGAATAGCCCAGCCATTTTCGGGTTGGCGAGAGTAAGATTGGTTACCCCTCCGGGGGGTGAGAAGCCAAGATCGGGTGCACCCGGCGGGAATAAGGTCAGGGGGTAGGGGCGGGCGTCGGCCAATCAGGTGGCGCCAGGAGGGCGCTGCCGGCTGTGTAAAACAAGTATTCCCGATAATGGCCGGGTTCGGGCCGGGTGCATCCGATTTTAGCCACTCCTAAAAAAAACACTCAGTACAATATTTACTTACCTCCGTATCGAGAGCTGCCGTTTCCCCCGTTGTACCCGCCGCCGCCCCCGCTGTACCCACTCCCGCCCCCGCTGTACCCACCCCCCCCGCCGCTGAAACCGCCGCCGCTTCCAAGCCCGACGTACTTGTCCCGGAGCTTGCGAGACTTCTCGCGCTCTTCGCGGATCATGTCGTTGTCCTTAAGGAGTTCGATCACCTGCTTCGATTTCTCACGGACTGCACCAGGGTGGGAGGCGTAGGGGGGGTGAAAACACGATGTGATTGATATAGGATGCTTTGATCTTTCGTGGGGCCATATGAGGGTTTCTGAAGAAAAAAGGAGTGGCAAGAGGCGGTGGAGTGCTTCGAATCAGCACCGAACGCGCAAATACAACGTGTGCGGATGTTGGTCAGGACAACACGGTCATGCGACACAAAACGCGTGGTCTGTCTCCGCTGGCTCTGGAACAGCAGCAGCAGCAACAGAATCAGCAGCAGCAACAAAAAATACATGAATGACTGCACATGCCTGCGCTACGCCTCCTCACATCCAAAAACGAGCACAAGCGTCTCCATCGCAAAGAGCAACGTAGGGTAGGAGGTCCCGCCCTCGAATCGGGCATCGACAAAGACCCAAGGCAAGCAACATCACGGACGAAACATCATCGACACAGAAGCAGCAGCAGCAGCAGTCCCGCACCTCCGCTGCCTTTATCTATCGGGCCTTCAATAGTAGTTGAAGTCGGAGAGCATGCGCACGCGGTGAAGGTTGTCCCGAGCGTCTTCGATCACGCGCTCAGCCCCGTTCTTGATGAGGTGTTCCAGGAGACAGAGGGCCTGTCTCCGCCAACGGGGGGGGGGGGGGGGCGTGTACTCATAGTCGTGCATGCCGTAGTCGTTTGACCATTGACCTCGCATCCCTACAAAGCCGGGACGGAGCACGCCGGGTTCTCCCCGGACCAGGCTCTACACGGGGGGGGGGGGTAGAAACGCCGGTGTGATGAACTTACCATTAGTACACGCTGTCGTTTGCTGCTGGTGCCGCCGCGCTCACGAGACCCACCAGATTTACCACTCGTGCATGCAGGCTACACTCCCATTCGCAGACGGCTTTCTACCAAACTTGTTCGTGCGTGGTGTAGGGAGGAACAAGTCTAGCGGGACCTGCTCCACCCCCTTCCGGCACGTGTGTGGGAAAATGGCATCGGTGCGAACCGAGCCAGCGAGCAACTATTACTATTGCTCGTGAGTTCGCCGAATATATTGGTTGACGGTTTCGACTTGATCATGGTATGCTATTCTTCGTTATTGCTCGTGCTTTCGCGGATTATTTTGGTTGACGGTTTCGACATGGTGCACGGTATGGTACTCTTCTCGCTTTCGCGGTTTATTTCGTCGTGCCGGTTTCGACATGATGCATGGTACGGCACGAGCGTAGCATCGCGAGACAGCTGCACGTTGAGCTGGCCCTCTTTCAAAACACCATCATGATGGAGCCTGTCCCCTCTGGTTTTCGGCGGAGTTTGTAAACTCTGCTCTCTTGGCGATAACTCTGAAACCACTTTTTTCTTACAACGTCCAGATTCCAATGTGTAAGCTTGCCTTTTGCGCCTCCGGTGGGGAACAAGACGTTGACTCGATCATTCGGCCCCGCCCCCTCAGACACCAAAGGCGTACAGATGCTACTGGAAAAAGTCAATGAAATACAACAGTTACTCCAGTGATCGCCCCCGTCCTCCCATAGCCGACCGTCACAGCCCGAATGCCCCACCATCAAAAGGATTCCAATAAACTCGACGCATACCGTAGGTGATATGACGTAAGATATCACACCATCCGGACCGATAGTCAAAGCTCGATTGCTCGGCAGGAATAGCAGCAACGGTGCCCAAAATGGCGGGAGGCATTAGAACCGTCTCGTTGAGATATTTTTCGAAAATACATCATTTGATTTCGGCATCCTCTCCATCGTGGCGAAAATCGCGCTTCAGAAAAATCAGACCCAGGGGGCATGTTATATAATGCAACCTGCCACACGAAGACACCACCCGCTTGCGCAGTGGCACCCTCTTGGATGTGGAGCCACCGAGCCATGACCAACAGCCTAGGAGCGGGGGGGGGTGCGATCACTCGAGCAACATCGGCACCAAGATAAACATATATGCATCACTGCCTGAGTTCATGTTACCAACATATGTGCCAACACTGCCTCTGTGCGTTCGCTGGACGCATGCTTCCTACCTTGAAGACTTTACGCCACTCGCGGCTAGGGCTCTGAAGCGAGGTCCAGATGAGCGGCAACACGATGCCGTACTTCTCGCTGAGGGCGACAGACACAGCACGGCGCGAAAGACGGGACAGCGCGCGCCCGGGGGGTGGGGGGGGGGGTGGGACAATGGGCGCGGCTTGGGCAAAGCCCGCTTGTGTTCTTTTTGTACAGCAACGATACCAACGAAAGGCTTTCGCTTTGACCTTCTAGTAAACTCCTTCTAGTGAACTCCTGTACTCCTCTTGTCATCCTAAGGCCGTGAAAACAACATCACTAAAACAAAATAAGGTCAACATGTCGGGGGGCCCGTATGGTGAAGCAGAGCAAGTAACCCACCGGATTACAACGAGGGGGGTTGCTGTTATAGGAGCTATGCATAGATATCCATACAGCTGATGGGATGAAGGGTTCGCGTCCCGGGGAGCGCCATACTCGCTGTACGATCGATGATGTACGACCTAAACAGCGATTCTCAGCTGTCGAACGGGCTGAAGAGATTAGAACCCTTATCTGCAGTACGCGGCGCATTCGTCTGTCGAACCTTAGACCTGCTCATGTTATGAACTCGAGACAGCAACATTGGCACATAGCTGCCGTAGCAGGGAAATCGAATGCCGTATCTCACAAGTCATTCAAGACAGATAGCTGCAGTAGCAGGGAATCGAGTGCCATGTCTCACAAGTCGTAAGTGTCTCGAGCGATGTCGTTCAGCAGCGTGCTGGACGCCCCCCAGTTCTTGTTCGAGAGAGCTTCGTACACGCGCTTCTCCGTGTCGTTGGCGCGGGGCAATGGTGTCACGCCTGCGGACAAGAGGGAGGGGGGGGGGGGGTGTACTCATAGTCGTGCATGCCGTAGTCGTTTGACCATTGACCTCGCATCCCTACAAAGCCGGGACGGAGCACGCCGGGTTCTCACCGGACCAGGCTCTCACATCACCAAGCGCGAAGCGCCGTGAGGTATTTGGCGAGTCGCATGAAGGGTGAGCTGCATCCTGCTAAGGGTGTTCGGCATCTTGTGCTTACTTCCTTGCGTACGGATGACAGCTACGTATGACTTAATTTATTTTCTGGTGCTTTCACTTCCAGAGACAGTTGTAAGCACTGTGTAACTGCCTCGAGGAAGCTTGACCATTTTAACACAACGTGGTGCGATCATCCCCCGTTGCGCGGAGTGAGGTTTCTCGACCCCGCACAACATGATCTACTCGACTACCATTATGGTTACCGCAAAAAAAAAAAAACGAGGTAAAAAAAAAAAAA